ATTATTCATTGAGGTATCTAGTAATTTATGGGCTTGTGTGAAGGACATTCTAGTATATCAAACCTGGGTCATGGGAAATAATGATGGAAGAATAGGTGTTATGTGGTTGCGTGAGTCTCATTGTGGAAGAGATGTGGCATTATCTTTTGTGTGTTTTGTTGTGCCCTTGTTTCGTATAGGTCTAGATATAATGTTTAAGGTTCAAACATTCATGTGTAAAACATTAATTTTGTGCAGAACCATAGAGTTTAAAAATGAAGAAACCATATCAAACGGATGAATTTTAAACTGAAATTTTTACAGTAGATTAATTACATACTGAATTGTACATCTGAATTTTTTCATAATTTTTGGGAGTCAAAATCCATATAAATTGAGGTATTCAAATCTGTCCAGGAAACCAGTCCGAAACAGTAAATTCGGGAGTGTTGTTCTCTTTGGGTATAAATCCAAAAATTATCAAATTAGTGTCATAAGAACCGGTTACGAGTCTAGTTTCATGCGTTTTTGTCCTTGCATTGATTGCTCGTGTATATTAAGAGAACCGTCAATTTCTTTAAAGTGCGCCAGAAAACAACCTGTTTGGATATAATAAATTGTAGATAATTATTTTGATAAGAAAATCAAGTGAAACCAACTGGGTTTGAAACTTAGGATATATTAGATCATATCTGGAGGTTATTGGAATTTTTCGAATAGCGTGGAGTGGGTTTTGTAATTTTCAAAGTTAGCGAATAGGTTAGGAAGGCTTGTTTGAAATTCTGTTTTATCTTAAAGTTACAATTAATTAAGTTTTGACCGGAACCCATGTCTTGGGTGATTTTAAACCTTGAAGAACATGAACTTAGGTAATATTTAAGAGTAACGGTGAGTTGGGTTGAGCTGTGTTAGTGCGCTTTAGTTGAGGTTACTTAGTTCCTATTTTTTTTAGTATTTTTAAATTAATTGTGACGTGTAGTTTTTATACTTGGTTCAGGGCACTAGTTGGACTTCTACACTCTATTCGAGGATTATATTATTTCGGTTTCAGGTGAGTAGTTTCATGCTACTAATTTTTATAAATGTTCCCCTTCCTTGAACTGTTGGAAAATTAAATTGTTGTTTCAAGACTAAATTGTTTTGATAAATTATTATATTATCAATGTAATCAAATTATTTCTGAAACATGTGTGAACTTGGCATACTGTAAACTATTTGTTTTGGTCTCATGTTTATAATGATGAAATACCATGTTTTGCGAAACTGATGTGTATTGATTATTGGGACCATGTGTGTATTTAGTCTAGGGAAATTATTCCACTGTGTGTGGTGACTCTGGCCACTAGGGAACAGATCCGGGTTGGGCCGTGATGACTCTAGTGCTCAACGATTGTAAGGAAAAGACCTTTAAAAACAACTAGGTGACCTTTAATCGGATCGTCTTTGAGAAAAGGGCCAGGTGCCACCCTAAGGATGACTCTTAGTTCGGTATTGGATCCAACGGGGCTTATAGCCTGAGAACTGTGTGGCAGATTATTTGTTTTTATTGGTACCCAGAAAATTATTGGTGTTCATGTTATAATCTGTTTTAAGTGGAAAATGTTGTTTATCATGTTCATGCGACACATGAGTATTTTAAGTGTTGAACTGTGAAACCTTCTTTTTGAAACAGATTGTATCTACCAAACTGTATGCCAATCTAGTTTCTGTGATATATATCTTATTTTGGAATTGAACCCTGTTTTCAAAACTGTATTTACTGTCCATGTTGCTACTCACTGAGCTATCAACTGACTTAGTTGTTTACCATTTCCAGGTGTTAGAAGGACTTAGAGTGGACTCATGGCGTAGCGGGGACTCAATTGCATGGACCTCTAGGGCATTTATTTAATTTGTTTTAGGTTGCTTTGTCGAGTTTTGTGCATACATTGTGGTTGGGTTTTATTTAGAATTATTTTATTTTGTGAGCGGTTTGTATCCCATTTAGTATATATATTTTTTTAGGAAGTTGGTTATGACTTGTTTTTCACTTGTGGTATGTCGCTGGATTGAGTGTTGATTTATTTATTTCTGGGCTATCATCACATTTATTCTTTATGGTTTTGGATTTATGTTTAGGCTTACGTGTGCCTTGGGCTAAGTCCCTGTGGGCCACGGCCGGTCATGCCCGAATTTGGGGTGTGACATAGTGCCCCTCAATTATAAGCATGGCACCTTTAGGTGCTATTTTTCACGGTGTTTATGATATATTGAAGTCAGCTTATCTGCATTCACCAGAAGGAAGGAAAAGAATTCAACACATGAAAGAATAAGTAAAGGAACTTAATGCTTTGGAACAACTGTGTTTAGGTGCCTTAGCACATACATTGGCACCCTCGTCCTGTGATAGGAGCAAGTGGGTTTGCTGGAGTTGCAAATGCTATAAGAATTGTTGCCAGTAGTTTTGGATAATCTTTGAATAGTTTTGGATATGTTTATATGCATAGTTTTAGATGGTTTAAACTTTTTGGACAGTTTAGAACTTAAAGAGTTTTCGAATGTTTGGAATGTATAGACAATTGTTGAATATTTATAATTTTTTGATATAGTTTCTTTTTTATGTTTCAAACAATATTTTGGTGATTGATTGATATTTTGTGAGGCTTGTTTGTAATGTTTGTTAGATTGTATAGAATTGTCAAATAGAACCTATTGAATTTAAATATATATATATATATATATATTCTACGGCAGGCATAATAAGTCGTTGTATTACATATTTTACCACGCGCAATCAGCGTCGTTATTTGTCTCACCAATTAACAGCATGCAAAAATAATCATAGAAAAAGTAACAACAATGCACAAAATCTATCGTTAAATAGTTTTTAACGGCGTACTATAGCATGTCGTAGAAAAAGTAACAACGACGCACAAATTTTACCGTTAAATAATTTTTAACGATGTACGAAGCATGTCGTTGAAAGTGAATGACTTTCCATGACTGGTTATAATATGACGCGCGCTTAAAAACCCTTTTTTGTTGTAGTGTTGAGAGAAAGAGAAAAGTGGAAAAACTCCATTGAAACAAAGCAATTTGAGGAAAGAGATACTATCAAAATCCCATTAAAGTTACAACTTGAAACTTCTTGTAAAGATTTCAAAACATACTCCATAACCGGGAAAATGTTATGAACAAAGTTTGGTAATCAGAAAATTCATATTTTTCTCCAAAGGTGAATTTTTGTATTTTTCTCATCTATTTTCTTTCTATTTCTCTTGTCTTTAAATATAATATTACTTATAGAAATGGATGGTTAAGCCACCTAGCCTTAGATAATGTAGATTTTTTATTTTCTTTTATTTTCTTTCTTGTTCTCTCATCTTTTAAATTATAATTTCAGAATTTCCTTTTATTTAAATATGTGATTTAACTTGTAGAAATGATTGGCTAAGCCACCTATATCCTTAGATAATGTAGATTCCATTTTTTATTTTTATTTTTTGTATTTTCTTCCTTGTTCTCTCATCCTTTAATTATAATTTCAGCAAGTTTTCTTATGTTTAAGTATGTGATTTAACTTGTAGAAATGGTTGGCTAAATTGGTTATATGATTGGTCAGATTTAGCTTGTTGTAACAATATGCAACCTCCATTTCTTTTTATCCCTTACCATGTATGTCTTTCAATTTTCATTTCTTTCTATCCCTTTTATTTGCTTGCTTTCCATAGCTATAAATAACATCATATTTTCTTTTTCATTATATCCATGTTTTGCATTCATATTTTATGCATTCAAATTCAGCTCATTTACATCTATGGGTTTAATAAATTTTTATGTGATTTTGTGCGCTACCCCATGTCTTGAGATAATTCATATGTCATGTATTAGTAGCCAAATTTTTAGTTGCATTTCTACTTATATATTGCATTAGAATCTTGAATCAAGGATCACACATATTTTGCTAACTTTGTTTTGCAACTTTCTGTGAAGCGTCAAAAAAATACTATGTGAGTGTTTATACTTTAGCATCTCGCTTGTATGTGTTTATCTTGCTATGTCTAAGCATCATACCAAGCGGCTATTTGCTTAAGTGATATCTCTATGAATACTAGTGGATGGAGATTGTGGCGTTCAATTTGGAATAGTATTGATTTTTATATTTGTGAACTCAATTTCTTTTGAGTTGTTCATTATTCAAAACTTTTTAAAAAATACACGAAATTAAATGTTCTAAAATGAATGATGTAGTTTATATTTGTTTGCTTCACATAGTAAATTTTAAGATTATTAATAACCGGAATATGAACATATAAAATCAATAAAACGCATATCATGATTTAGTAGAAGCCGAACTTTCCATTGAGTGAGTGGAAATATGCTCAATTAATGAATTTTTGGCCTCGCTAAAAATTTTATGCTTCAAATGAATTTTTGACTCTTTTTTGTTTTGTAGTTTTATAAAATAAAATGTGAAATAATTATAATTTAGATTTGGTATTTTATCTTATTAACTTTTAAATTTATTTTTATTTCAAAAAAAATAATAATGTTGCCAATTACTTCTTTCAAATGTGACAACATGACATGTATGATGTGATACTTCAAAAAAAGTAATAACTTCTTATTGTATTTTTTTCAAATGTGACAACGTGATAGGTATGATGTGACACTTCAAAAAAAATAAAAACTCATCAGTATATTTTTTTTAAACGTGACAGATATAATGTAGCACTCAACTTTTTTCAAATGTGACAACGTGACAAGTATGATGTGACACTTCAAGAAAAATAATAACTCCTTAGTGTAATTTTTTGAAACGTGCCAATGTGGCAGACATGATGTGACACTTCAAAAAACTAAAAATTTCTTAGTATACTTTTCTCAAACGTGATAAGTATGATGTAACATTTTAAAAAAAATTAAAAACTCCTTAGTGTATTTTTTTCAAACGTAACATGTGATATTCCAACGTGGCGAGTATGATGTCACACTCTAAAAAAAATTAAAAACTCTATATGTACTTACTCGCATGTGAAAGAGAGCTTTCATCTCTGTGTGTGTGGACTTGTTGTATTGTGTATATGCATAACCACCTCCTTTAGAGATTTTTAAAAGTTTCTCGAATCTGTTTAAAACAAATTGAGACAACATAGAGCATGGAAGCAACAGATTCAACAAGAAAACCTTCAACTTTCATCCCTGTGGTCCGAAACCCCGATGGCTCCATCACCCGGGTCCTCCATTTCCCAACCTCTCCACCTGTACCCGATCCCAACTCTTCCACCACCCCTGTTCTCTCCAAAGACCTGTCTCTAAACCCACTTCACAGCACCTGGGTTCGCCTATTCCTGCCCCGAGAAGCACTGGATCATAGTTCCTCATCATCATCATCAAAGCTACCTCTCGTTGTTTACTTCCATGGTGGCGGCTTCATCACTTGCAGTGCAGCCACCTGGGCATTCCACGAATTTTGCGAAAAAATGGCAATCCGAGTAAGAGCCGTAATCGTCTCCGTTGAGCACCGTCTCGCTCCGGAGCACCGCCTCCCCGCTGCCTACGATGATGCCATCGACGCACTTCATTGGATTAAATCTTCCCCTGAAGAGTGGCTTGTAAACTTCGCTGACTATTCAAGGTGTTTCCTCATGGGCACTAGTTCTGGGGGAAACATAGCCTACCACGCAGGTCTACGTGCGGCTGCAGTTGTTGATGATCTAAAGCCGTTGAAGATCAAAGGGTTGATATTGCATGATTGTTATTTCGGTGGGACCAAGAGGACTGAGTCGGAATTGAGGTTGGTCGATGACCCTTCATTGCCACTGTACTATAATGATCTTCAGTGGGAGTTGTCTTTGCCGATTGGTACTGATCGTGATCACGAGTATAGCAATCCGACGCTTGACGGTGGGTCTCCGTCGTGGGACCTATTTAGGTCGCTGGGATGGAGGGTTATGATTACGGGCAATGATGGGGACCCACTGGTTGGCCGTCAAGTAGAGTTGGCTGACGCCTTGGCAAATAAGGGCGTGGAGGTGGTGATCCACTTTTGCCAGGTCGGTCGGCCTGGTCAGCACACCCTAGAGTTGAAGGACCCTACCGCAGCGGAAACATTTTTTGTTATTATGAGGAATTTCGTGTATTCGCCCGTGACTGTGAGCAGACTGTGATTGCTCATCCACGATGTACGTCAATTCTATTGTTCAAATTAAATGGCTTGTATACTAATTGAAAATGAGGATATAAGTTCCCTTTTGACAATGCCATTATTGCTTTCCTATGCTATCAAGAAAGCAAATAAACAAGGCCGCTAAATGTTACTACATTTTTCTTTTCTTTTTTTTAATCTGTGTAAATATTTTTTTTATTATAATTTGTTCCTATCTCTGTCGTCCCAAATCCCACCACAGCCCAGAGCCACCAACTCTCTCTCCCAACAACGGAGCTAGCATTGCATTAGGGGTCATGTGCCTTAAGTATATAATATTTATACCATTACCCTTAATCTTAACTAGAAAATTAATGTCAAGAAATAAATTAAGAGAAAATTGGTGATAAATCTAATTTAAAGTGTATATAAAACATTAGTTCTAATGGATATTTTTTGTTAGTGAGAGGTCCACACTTTGAGATATAGTTTATTGAAAAGTCCTAAACAACATTTTATTTCTAATTTTACCTTGTAACTTTTTTTATGTGTTTCACTTTTTGTTGATTATCTGTTTAAATTTATATCTATCTATTCAAATTTTTTTGATTATATGTTCAATTTTTTCTCCTAAATCCTGTCTATTTGTTCAATTTTATATCTATATGTTCAAATTATTTGACTATCTATTTAATTTTTCCCCCTAAATTTGGTCGATCTATACACATGTGCAACAACAACAATGACAACATCAACAATAACAACAAATTCAAAGCCACAATTTGTTCAATCTTACACAAACACAAGCAAATATCCCTCAATCTGTAACAATCCCGTTACGTATTATGTTCTTAAACGTTAATTTTGAATGTTATTTAAGTGCTTAGTATGAATTTGAATACTAAGGTGCTGTTTGGTAATACTTATGTTTTCAGTTTTTTGTTTATATTTACAAAAATTTTAAAAACTCAAATAAAAACTTGTTTGGTAAAATTTTTGATTTATAAATTAGTGATCTCAGTTTATAAATTTGGCCAAAAAATGAAAACACAAAAAATGTGTTTCCATTTTGAGAGGAATTTCGTGTATTCGCCCGTGACTGTGAGCAGACTGTGATTGCTCATCCACGATGTACGTCAATTCTATTGTTCAAATTAAATGGCTTGTATACTAATTGAAAATGAGGATATAAGTTCCCTTTTGACAATGCCATTATTGCTTTCCTATGCTATCAAGAAAGCAAATAAACAAGGCCGCTAAATGTTACTACATTTTTCTTTTCTTTTTTTTAATCTGTGTAAATATTTTTTTTATTATAATTTGTTCCTATCTCTGTCGTCCCAAATCCCACCACAGCCCAGAGCCACCAACTCTCTCTCCCAACAACGGAGCTAGCATTGCATTAGGGGTCATGTGCCTTAAGTATATAATATTTATACCATTACCCTTAATCTTAACTAGAAAATTAATGTCAAGAAATAAATTAAGAAAAAATTGGTGATAAATCCAATTTAAAGAGTATATAAAGCATTAGTTCTAATGGATATTTTTTGTTGGTGAGAGGCCACACTTTGAGAGATAATTTATTGAAAAGTCCTAAACAACATTTTGTTTCTAATTTTACCCCGTAACTTTTTTTTATGTGTTTGACTTTTTGTTGATTATCTGTTTAAATTTATATCTATCTATTCATATTTTTTTGATTATATGTTCAATTTTTTCTCCTAAATCCTGTCTATTTGTTCAATTTTATATCTATATGTTCAAATTGTTTGACTATCTATTTAATTTCTTCCCCTAAATTTGATCGATCTATACACATATGTGCAACAACAACAATGACAACATCAACAATAACAACAAATTCAAAGCCACAATTTGTTCAATCTTACACAAACACAAACAGATATCTCTCAATCTGTAACAATCCCGTTACGTATTATGTTCTTAAACGTTAATTTTGAATGTTATTTAAGTGCTTAGTATGAATTTGAATACTAATTATATGTTTATGCGGTTTTTGAATTCATATTTATTTACCATAGGAATATCTGTTGTGATTTCTATTATAATATGAAATTGAAGGTCTTAATAGCATCAGAAAACTGAAATTGATTAATTTATTGTGAATGACATAATTTGTAGAGCCTAATGAGAAGTTTGATTAAAACTTGATTCAGTTTAAATTAATTAGATTAAATTAATTAAATTAAGCCCTGGATTAATTAACTTAAGCTTTAGTTACCTTGCCTAATCGTTGATTAGCTGATTAAGCTAATCTAGCCTTACATATATATGTTAAGAATGAGATTAGGCTCATTATTTTTGCACTCAAAAATCTGAGAAATAGAGCTTGAAAGAGACAGAACTTGATTTTAGAAAGAAGAAGAGCTTGGAAGCTTGGAATTGCATGTAGGATTGAAGAATTGTGAAAGGGAACTCAAGTTCTTGCTAGAATTTGCTTGATTGGAGACCTTAGATAAGTTTTTTAACCTTAATTTATGAGTTTAGGTCATCAAAGATATGAATTCAAGAAATATATGATTAATTACCAAAAATGAGTTAAGGATGATGAATTTGAAGCTAATTTTCACATGCATGCATAGTTTTATTGAGTTTCATCCTTTTGAGCAAGGTTTTGTTATCCATGTTAGAATTGAGGATCATATCATACATGCATTTAAGAATTAAGCTTTTTTCTAGCTAATCTCCATGTTTTGTAAGCTTTAGAAAGGAATTTGAAATTAAGGGGTTGTTTAGGAAGTGCTAGATTAGTATACTTTTTGACTTTTTACGAAAAAAATATAAAATATGGGTTGGGTTTGTAGTGATGTGGTGGAGAGGTGATGTGAGCTAAATAAAATGATTGTGACCTAAATAGGATAATGTGATATTTTAGCACATGCCAAACAACCACTAAATGTTACATGCATGACCATTTGAGTTTGAATTCATGAAGTTTAACCATAAGGTTTGAGAATTGGTTTTGTATCCATGTTTATAGAAGAGCTTTTAAGTGTTTGAGAGGTTGTGTACAAGCCATGCAAGCTTTTGATTTGAAAACATATTCTTTCAAATTCAATTCAGTTATGAAAAATCCAGATTTCGACCTAATCGTTCGAGGGAACAAGTCTTCGCTCGAGCACACATTTCATGCACCCAGCATTTTTACAGGCAATTGCAGTTGGCTCAAGCGACAGAGTTATCGCTCAAGCGATCATATTTTATTTTGCACCTTCGCTCGAGCGACCATTGAGCCTAGATTTGAACCTTCCAGTACTTTTGCAGACCAAATGGTCTGTTCAAGCGACCAATGTTGCGCTCGAGCAAAGTACTCTGTTTTAGCATATTTTGACAAGGCATATTTTGATTGCGTGTGCATTCTCATTCCTTTTTGAGCATTCTTAGACATAAATTAGGCCTCATGAATGACCTAATAAGTAAGAAATGGAATGAAAAGAATTAAGTAAAGCAAAAATGATTCAAATTGGTCAAATGTTTCAATAGGTGTTATATGTAATGTAGGTTGGATCACGAAGGTGTGACAATTCTTCAAGCACTATGAGTAATATCTTAGTAAAGATATTTTGTTATATGTTATTTTCTTAAATGCTTTTATAGTAAGTTTCGAAACTCATGACTTTTGTATGTGAATGAGACTTCGAATGTTTCAGATGTGACTTCTGAATTTGATTTGATAAAGATTAAAGTATAATGGACTCAAGGTCATTTTGCAAATGATGGACCTAATGCATTTTGCATATAATGGACCCAAGGTCATTTTGCAAATGATGAACCCAAGGTCATTTTGAATATAATGGACCCAAGGTCATTTTGCAAATGATGGACCCAAGGTCGTTTGGCATATAATGGACCCAAGGTAATTTTGCATATGAGTTAGACCCGAGGTCATTTTGTATATTGTTTCAATAGACCTAAGGTCATTTTGTATATGGATATATTGGACCTAAGGTCCTTTTGTAAGTGAGCATATTGGATCTAAGGTCGTTTTGTATGTGAATATATTGGATTCAAGGTCGTTTTGTATGTGAATATATTGGACTCAAGGTCGTTTTGTTCCTTTGATATGTTTTATGCACAATGGATTGGATTCGAGGTCATTTTTCTTGGTTATGATTTGCCTAAGTCTATTATGAATGGGAATAGCATTCCATGTGTTAAATATAAGTATGATTTATTTATATTTGAATCTCATTCATTAACCTCTTTACTCTGATGTTATTCACTGGGCTTTCGCTCACTCCGTATTTATCTGTATGAAGGTGAGCAGTGAGATGTCCAGCCCTAGTGAACTTGTGAAGGATTACCAAATTTTGTGGAGTCAACTATGCAACGCCTCACGACCAAGACTTTTGTTTTTAACCTATTGTTTTCTCTTATTGGTCACATTTGACCACATGTGTATATAAGTTTTGGTTTGTATGTTAAAGACATACATATGATCTTGGACATGTGAGATTTCCTTTGTATGGGTGTGAGTTATTATTATATACGTAAGATGTTTTTGTTCATGCCATTTATGCACAAGTCATTGGACAAATTTTATATTTTTGCTTCCACTTCTGGTCCCATATAATTAAATATAATTTGATTTCTGTCTAAGACCGTAGGTAATTTCATGATTATTGGCCGGTTATGATCCAACCCTCTACGGGGCGGGTTCGGGTCTTGACATAATATATCTGCCAATACACATACAAACACAAACAGATACCTATATCTATATCTTCTTTAGAGCCATTGAGCTTCTTTAGAGCCATCATCATCATCATCATCATCATCAACAACAACAACAACAATTCATCGTTAATATATATATATATATATATATTTCTCTGTTTTAATCTTTCATTTTGTCCTTCGCATATATATTAACAGATCACTATCAACATATAAAACTACGGTTGTGATCTATAAATTTGAACTATATCAAACTGAAAATACGTATAGACATATATAGATGTGTGTATATGTGTGTGTGTGTGTGCATATATGTGTTGTGTGCTCAGATATGAGGCATATGCAAAATAAAAGTATAAATAGAAAGTGGAATTGAGAAATCTACAGCGGAGAAGCGGTGACAGGATCGACGGTGGTTGTTTCATGAGCTTGACATCGAGATGCCACCCGTTTTCTCCAGCGGCGGCCGTGGGACCCCTCTCAGCTTCAAGATAGAGGCGACGCTTCTTGAAGTGCAGGTCGATCAACCAAAATCTTAGATCTAGCATCGTTAAGAGAGATAGAGAGAGAGAGAGAGAGAGAGAGAGAGAGAGAGGGGGGATGCATGTTCAAAAACTCGGTCAATCTTCGATGTAAGATCATTAGAGATCTAGTGAAATCTCGATTGATCTTCTCTTTCTTCGATTTGTAAAGGTCTCAATGTTGATCAGAGATAAATAAGGTAAAGAGATATGGTAAGGCGACGCAGATCAGGTGAAGGTGAGGTAGTGGGCGATGTGGTCAATGGCGGCGACGGTCAACAGCAACCGAGGAAGAGATTAGGATGGTGATGGTTGAGTCGGAGAGAGAGAGAGAGAGAGAGAGAGAGAGATGAAAGAGAGAATAGAGGTTAGACTGAGAGAACAAATAGATGCTTTCTACCGTATAACATATATATATATATATATATGGGTAATTGTAATATGCCAGGGGGATACCCACGTTCGTTAAACAGTTCGGATCCTTGATCTCTTGGATCTAGTCTCACAAGTGCAATGTGAAACGTAGATGAGAGTCCAGATTTGGCAATTTTTAGAAAATACATTTTATTGCAAAAATATTTGATAGAAATGGAATACATCATCAGATATCAGAATTGTAACCTAATAATTTGGGAGAATTAGGAAACCCATGACTCGTGTAAAGGCAGCTATTCATTGTAACCAAGGATGCTTGGCTCAGAACCATAGGTATAAAGGTGAAAGGTAATTAATTAAGCACCCCCGCTTACCTGATTGAAAGATTGGCCTTCACTAAGCCATGATATAATTTTTATTAACTTCATATATTCATATTCTGATTTTTAATAATAAATCTTAAAATTTACCATGTGAAACAAACAAATATAGACTATGTCGTTCAATTTGAAACAATTTGGTTTCATTATTTTGAAAATGTTTTGAATAGTACAATCATAAAAATCAGTTTTATTCCAAATTAAATAACACAACCTTCACCCACTGGCATACATATAGTTATATCAAATAAGCAATTAGCCACAGGTAGGAGGCTCGACATAGTAAGAAAATCACAAACAAGCAGGATGCTAAAGCATAAAAACTTACATATTTGCTGACATCCCACAAATAGG